ACGAGGTCCCGCTCACTTTTGACATCCCGGTGAGTCACACTGTGGAGAAGAAGGGGACCAGCACGGTAGCGATACGCACAACGGGGCACGAAAAGTCTTCTTTTACTGTTGTGCTTGGCTGCCATGCTAATGGACAGAAACTGCCGCCTATGGTGATTTTTAAGCGAAAGACTTTGCCTAAAGAGAAGTTTCCAGCAGGAATCATCATTAAGGCAAACGAAAAGGGCTGGATGGATGAAGAAATGATGAAAGACTGGCTGAGGGAGGTGTATGTAAGGAGACCAGGTGGTTTTTTTCCACGCATCACCATCGCTGTTGATCTGTGACTCTATGCGTGCCCATCTCACAGCCGATGTGAAAAAACTTGTGAAGCAAATGAACTGTGAGCTTGCTGTCATTCCGGGGGGAGGCCTGACAAAGGAACTCCAACCGCTGGACATCGGTGTGAACCGCCCGTTCAAAGTAAGGCTGCGAGCGGCGTGGGAGCGATGGATGACCGGTGGAGACCACAGTTTCACTAAGAGTGGAAGGCAGCGCCGGGCGAGTTACGCCACAATTTGCCAATGGATTGTAGATGCTTGGGCTAACATGTCTGCTGGCACTGTTGTTCGAGCTTTCGCAAAAGCCGGCATCGTTTCCGAGGAGCCGCACGGCACGAAAAGTGACTCTGACGGTGAAGACAGTGAACCTGGCATGTTTGATGGAGATTTAGCGCAGCTGTTCAATTCAGACACAGAGGATGAGGACTTCGATGGGTTTGATTGATGATAAAAATGTGAGTACCAAACTTTGTTTTGCTCCTGCTTTATTTTTAAATATGCACACTTGTATGCTTGTGTGTTGTTGATGATGACGATTACTGGTAATAAAAATGTGAGTAAGGTACCGAATTCAGGTTTGCTCCCGCTTTATTTTTAAATACGCATACGGTACTTGTATGCGCCCTATGATCCAGTGCGCCTTATGTGTGTGTTAAATACAGTAAGGGCACACATAACTGAGACTGCGCCTTTTAGCACAGTGCGCCTTATGGTCGTGAAAATACGGTAGATATGATACAAACCACTGCAGCGCAGTACCTGTAATACCTACAGCATGTTCTAATCGCTCTAATAGGATATTATGGTCGACAGTATCGAACGCTGCACTGAGGTCTAGCAGGACAAGCACAGAGATGAGTCCACTGTCAGAGGCCATAAGAAGATCATTTGTAACCTTCACTAAAGCTGTTTCTGTGCTGTGATGAGCTCTGAAACCTGACTGAAACTCTTCAAATAAACCATTCCTCTGCAGATGATCTGTTAGCTGTTTGACAACTACTCTTTCAAGGATTTTTGATATGAAAGGAAGGTTGGAGATTGGCCTATAATTAGCTAAGACTGCTGGGTCTAGAGATGCTTTTTGAGTAAAGGTTTAACTACAGCCAGCTTGAAGGCCTGTGGTACATAGCCGATCATTAGAGATAGGTTGATCATATTTAAGATCGAAGAATTAATTAATGGCAGGACTTCTTTGAGCAGTTTTGTAGGAATGGGGTCTAAAAGACACGTTGATGGTTTGGAGGAAGTAATTATTGAAGTTAACTCAGAAAGATCAATTGGAGAAAAAGAGTCTAACTTAACATCAATGGTACTAAGAGTAGCTGTAGATAATATTACATCTGTGGGATGATTATTGGTAATTTTTTCTCTAATGATAAAAATTTTATTTGTGAAGAAGCTCATGAAGTCATTACTAGTTAACGTTAAAGGGATGGTTGGCTCAACAGAGCTCTGACTGTTTGTCAGCCTGGCTACAGAGCTGAAGAGAAACCTGGGGTTGTTCTTATTTTCTTCAATCTGTGATGAATAGTAAGATGTTCTGGCTTTGCGGAGGGCTTTCTTATAAAGCAGCAAACTATTTCTCCAGGCTAAATGATGATCCTCTAAATTTGTGACACGCCATTTCCTCTCCAGCTTACGAGTCATCTGCTTTAGGGTACGTGTTTGAGAATTATACCACGGAGTCAGGTACTTCTGATCTGAGGGCCTTTTTTTCTATAAGGCAGAGTAAATTAATTTGTTGATCAATCATTAAGTCATGAGCTAACAGAGACTTGGAGGAGAGAGACCTAATATTTAATAATCCACATTTCATTCTTTCTCCCTGTCCTATCCCCCAGTCATGTCTGTCCCGTTTGTAGCAACTGAAAATAAAATAAATTCATAATTATAATAAAGGTCAATGAAATGGACCAATATGGCAAGGCCATGATGATCCACTTGGTAAAATAAATCCGCTTGGCATCTTTCTTGGCCTTAAGACAACAATTCTGATGGCTAAAGATCCAAACGGGACACACAAAAAAAATAATAATCCACATTTCACTGTTTTACTCTTTGGTTCAGATGTGGAAACTGTATTGTTCTTTCTTTGTGATTTTTTATATGTAAGTCATTGTTTTGCTGGTTTTTAGTTTGTTTTTTTGTTGTATAAAGCGCTTGAGTTCTCAGAAGAGTAGAAAAACACTATATAAGAACCAGTCCATTTACCATTTACCATCAAACAAGACATGACTGCCATCCCACCAACTTGCCAGCATTCTCTTATTAGTAGGTTAATGAAAGGGACTTGCACACTGAGGCCTTCTCTTAGCCTGCTGATTCCTCCTGGGATTTTCCCACAGGTTATAAGGGGCTCTCAGAGGTGCCTTTTGAGACCTTAGTGTATTGACTTAAAGACTCTGTCACTCAAAACTGAGTGAGCTGCATTGGAAGCATGGAAGCTTTTGATCCAAAGCCATTTGCTGATAAGAGCCAGTGTTGGCTTAATTCACTTTGTCCTGTTGGAGCATTACACATGTATCCAGAAAGAACTAAGGTGTTTAGGAAAGCAACCAGCTCTTTGTGTCCTGGGCTCGCTCTCATAGAGGGAAGCCTCTGTCACACTAGCAGAGAGCACTAGAACTGAGAGCAGATATAACACCCCAACACAAAACAGATTGGCATGTCTAACAATAGATATGACATGAGTCAGACATGGCATGTAATGAAGGAACCATAGTGAAGGTGGGTCACAAAGCAACTTGGAGAACCAAAGCAATATGTTTTTAGACTGCGGCTAAACGTTGTTCCAAGATTTATCACTGCTCATTCTTTTTGTTCCCCAAGTGTCCTCGATGTCTAAACCTTTGTTATGGTTAAACCATCAGGCCAGATGAAACCATACCTCTCACTAGAGCAGGGCCAAAAATATTTATCACGATACACATTTGAAAATTTGCGATAACGGTATAACTGACGACACTAGACAAAATACTTTACAACTCCACAACTTTATTAGTGCAAAAAACCCCATCAATGTATTTTCACTTAAACAAGCAGCTTTTTTATGTGCTTAAAGTTATATATAAACGTAACAGTGCAAATTCCTCGCTGACAGTTTAACCAAAAGGCATTTCCAGTGGAAACTGGCCGACATATCCTCAGCATAACCATGTATAATATCCACTAAACTTAAAAAGAGGTCATACACATACAATACGGTAACATTATGTTGAAGCACAGTACGTATCACTCCGCGAGGCTCCGCCTACGATAGTCGAAATGCTCCGACCCATATTCTATCACGATATTTCATTTTCTTATCGTTGCCCAACATTATACCAGTATTACCGTGAACAGTATGATATGGCCCAACCCTACCTCTCACTTATCATCAGACCAGCAAACAGGGAGAAAAGCTAAGCTGGCAGCCAGCAGCTCCTTAAACATCACCTTTGAACATGCTTGACAGCTTGCTCCTTGTATAGTTATTTAGTCAGACAGGCAGCATGATAGTACAAACAATTACAGCAACAAATGCCGGATCATTGTTCAGGCGTGTGCATGACTGAGGTTTCATAACAGTTTTTAACAATAGTTATTAAGAAACACATCATCAGAAACTAAATGGATGATCAGATTACTATGTGATGCATCATGATGGTGGTGGGAATATTCAAGTCTGTGGGTGTTTTAATCTTCTCAATCTAAACACTTGCACTGAACTGACTCCACTCTAATCTTGAGAGACATGATCCACTCTCTGGTTTCAGTTTTCTGATGTTTGGTAGGATTTTAAATGCAGAACATGTATTTATGTAGTAGTATTTGTGCATTTGTTACATTTGTTGCACATTAAAAAAGGCACCTGTAACATTCTGTCCAACTTTAAGCAAAACACATATTTCTAAAATAACTTAAAATATAATAATGAAACAATACTGCCCCCTGTTGCTTGAAATATGGAATTTTATTTGATAGCACTTCTTACAGAAAGAGACAACAAACCAAAGATAAAACCCCTCGAAAAACAAAAGCAAGAAAAATTAGAAGACATTGTCAGAAAAATCGATTTTTAAAATATCAGAAGAAAGATTCTTCTTCTTACACTTGTGACACTGGACTATATCTACACACTATATCTTGTTGATACATGTTGGTCATGTATAAGACAACAGTCATGATCATTCCATGAAAGACTTGACTTTTTGTTTTGTTCACATATTTTTTCACTTTGCTGTTTTGCCAAACAAAAAGTTTTGAGACATGTCGCAGTCGCAAGGTTTGGTTCTATGTCTGCATCATTTACAGTTACAAAGTTAATTATCAAACTGCACAGATTGAGAAATCCATTAATGATAGTTTATAGTCTAACAAAAGGGGAGAAAACCTCAACAGAAAGCGAGTTAACACCATCACCCTCTGGTATATAAGCCTGCCGTTTAGCTCGTAAAACAAAGACCCAGAACTTCAACTCTCTAAATGTGATATTTGCAGCACATTTTATGTTTCTTTTATCATTTTTAAGTATAGTGGATCCAATCCCTTGGTGTAATGCTGGTGTTTGGGCATCTGAAGAGTCTGGATGCAAAGTTGAAGGTTCTTGCTGAATTTCTGGTTAGGAAAAAAAATCAACTCCGATCAGTACTTGCTTCGAACAAAAAGATAGCAAATTTCTTTTTTGTGGGTGTGTCTTAATTACTCACAGCATCCATAAAGCCTGTTTACACGGGCGATGTCATTGGGACTCATTCGGAAAGCATTTCCAAAATTAAGATTAGGATTGGACCTGGCAACAATGGTTGGCTGCCCATTCTTGGAGAAGGCGAGTCTAAAAGAACAAACAACAGCACACAAACACACATACGCGGTTATATTAGGAAAACAGAGGAGAAAATGGGCCCATAAAGTATTTAACATTAAAAATCCATTCCCCACTGAGTGTGTGCATATTTTTGTTAGTCTGGATTACATTTTCTTGCAGAAAATGCAAAACATGTAAGGAAATATAAAACCTTACAAAGTCCATCTCACACAGCAACTCACCTGCCATAGTGCATGACAGAGTTGAAGTCATAGGGAGTCCCCAAATTGTTGGTCTGCACTTTCACAAAGTTGTGCTCTTGTCCTAAACAGAGATTTCCAGAAAATATTACATGTTTTTATATGCTTCCACTTCAAAATCCGTCTTCAGTCTCAGCTCTTTGATGATGTATAGATCGAAATGCTAGCTAATCTCTTCTGTGGTCATTTGTTTGATAGTCTTGGGACTAAAGAAATACAAACAAAATCTTCTATGCAGTGCTCGCTTGAACTGCAGTGTTTTATGTGCTGAGTTTGGAAAAGCACAGATTACTTGTAATATGTACACTGCTGTGAAACAGGAGGATGTCCCATTGTGTACTAAGTTAACTGTAACCAACGTTTTGGGTAGTTCAGCTGACCTGTGATGATGTTCCCGGTAAGGATCCTCACATGCAGATCTCTGTCAGAGCGGACCTGCTCGTGGTGGAAGCCCAGAGCATGAAGAACCTCATGTTGCACCGTCGACTGAAACAAGCAACCATTTCTCTGTAGGGAGACTAGCTGTCCTCCATTCTGACGGCCCAGGTATGAATAACACCTGATAGACACAATGACATCGCTTAAAAAATAGATGGACTGTTCTATAGCCTAGCACTGTGCATCCTCCTCCTTCAGCTAGTCATGCTAAGGCTAAAGTACCAAGAAAAGCAATGACAGTAATCATGTGACCGACTTTGACACTGTGGCTCTATAGACACTGCTCGAACCACACTTTAGCTTTTGTACTTTAATATCTTAAATAATATTTTAAAATAAAAAACACACATATCCATTATCAACTAAAGTAAATAAACAGATAGCGGTCAATCAATCTCAGAAGCTTTTTAAACATCTGTCGTCCCTTAATCATCTAATAACCCACCAGATTCATCTTCTCGCCTTACAAGGTGCCAGTCTCTAGTTTTGGAACTAGTGGACCAAATAGTATGTGAAATAATTAAGAGCAGATGAATAAAATGCTCTTTACACTCCTATGCAACAGTATACATTTCATCTAGTAGCAAACAAAAATAAAACTGGACATTTTACAGTACAAGGTCAATGCAGAATGGTCCTTCAAGAACCTGTTTTGATGACACATACAGAATATTTGTAATGCAATCATTTTCAGAATTGCATTTTTGAAGGGTTTAGAGGGTGTGGGTGTATCAGTCCTGTCCTGCCATATAAATACAAGTACAGTCTAAGTACAGCAAGTGCATTCTCACCCTTGTCCAGAGAAGAAGTGAAGGAAATCTCTGTCGCTTGTACGCCAGACAAACCGGATGCAGGTGGAAGCGTAGAAGGTGACTAGGGCATTGATGATGACGTTGCGCTCTTGGCTGCCTGCAGATTCAAATATGAGTCTGATGAGGAGCTTCTTCAGTATTCAGGATCTTCAATATGTTTCAGCCATTTCAACTTGGCAGCATAAACAGTATTTACAATCTGTGCTGCTTCGAGGATCTCTGAGTTCCCATCGGAATGACAGGGCCGCCAAAATCTATCTATCTATCTATCTATCTATCTATCTATCTATCTGTCTGTCTGTCTTGAAATAGAAAAATTGAGAAAGTGACATTAAATGAAAACATAATTTGAAAATTGTGTGCATCTGTGTATGATATCAATTCAGCATACTTATACAAATATGACTTTTCAGTTTAAATGCTTTTTAGTTAATCCCACAATAAAACAGCATAGTTAACAAAGCAGTATTTTTGGAAACCACTTGAAATATATATTATATATATTTATATAATAATGGGTTTTATTTAACTATTTTTATCCATCTCTCCTTTTCATAAAGTCTGTGTTTAATGGTTAAAGTTTGTACTGCTTACTGTATTCAGTGCCAATGGAGACAGGTACATAGACAAAGCGTCCCGTTTTAGGCCACTTGCAGCCAGTGGCTGTGCATGGAACAGCATTCCTGGTAGCAGTGGGCACAATGTCACCATGAACCAACACTTTTGCTGCAGAACAACAAACAGAGAGTGGTTAAATGCTCAATACTTGGGCTGCCATTTGCTCAGTTATGTCAAAACAAAGAGGTAAATGCTTACAGCATTTACTTTATTGATCGCACAATTACAATGTTTGATAATAACACAAATAAAACTGCTGACTAAGACAAGCCAGTAAATGACCAAAAGGCTGATTGATCATTGTGTCTGTTGGGAGTTTACTGTATGTTAACATGTGAGTTCTCAGGGATCTTTCATTTTCATCCAGAATTTATATGTTAACAAAAAAGAGTTTTATTTTGTAAATCTTCACTTACTTGAGTTAGCATTGACTTTTTCAATGATCGCTGGGGCACCCAGAGACTCATCTGTGGATACAAGAGGCAACCAGCAGATTAACTTTAAGCTCTTATATTAAAAACACCTCAATATGTTGGAAGTATTTCATCACTGAACGCACCAGTTATATTTCTAATGACAGCAGCCCTCTGCAATAAAAAACAAGACATTTTCAACTTACTCTTAATCACATTTGAAATCACACTGACAAATGTTATTGTTGGCAAACAAAAACTATTATGTGAAAAACTTCAACTGTGTCACGCTTAAACGCTCATAACAAGCAGCCATGTCTGTTAAGCAGACACGGTTAGAATTACTTTCACAGAACAGCCGGCAGTGTTGAACAACATTTAATGCCTTTGCTGGAAGAGTCAAGCTTACCAGACAAACGGCTGTCATTGACAGGCAGACGGAGAAGAAAAAGGCTGGAGTCATGATGTTGGTCCTCTACAGTTAACCTACAGTCACAATCTGAACAGCACTGTTTAAAAAGAACTTCAATGAATGTAACTGCTGGAATAGAAAGGCAAATAAGTGGGATACGGGCAACCCAACAGCTGATTCTGTTCATCTGGATGTTAACTTTTCTCCCAATGAAAATGCTGAGCAGACAACATCCACATAAAGGGAATCAGATATCTGGGATTTCCCTACGTAGAGGATTCAGCATGCAGGGAGATGATATGAGGAGGCTTACCTGTTGTACCAGGTGTTTGCTGGATGCAGCAGGTGTTCGGCTGCTCCATCTTATAGATAGCTCACACAGGGTGTGGCTGAGGTTTCAGGGCTGTCTTTTTAGTTATCAATCCATTAGTTTCTTTTGCTGATGCCAAAACACTAAAGCAGCAACAAATTTCCAGGAAGGAAACTTCAATCAGGACATTGCAACATTTTTTGAGTCTGACGTAAACATTCAGAGCATTAAATAATTGCAATTAAAAAGTTGCAAAGCCCAAAGAAATGCTGATGGAAATTAAATTTCAATCAGACTGGAATGAAATTCTTTTAACAACATAATTACCTTTGGCAAAATAGTCAATAACAACAACATTTATTTCCTCACATGTACTCAATATGCACCTTTGCCTCAGTTTGTAAAACATTTCATTGCTAGCTTACAAATAAAGTTCTTCCTTCTGAAATTCAGTCAAGCATCACATTAAGGAAATACTCACATAAAATGCAAACACTGAATATGTGTCTGAATGAACAAGATATGAAGTAAGGCGCTAGAGAAGGAAAACCAAACAATTCATCAGAACTTCTGGGATAAATGTGCCATAAATTAATTAATAATCATTTTAAAATCCTGTAACATTAGACAAATGGCAAACTATGAGTGATTTGTTGTGGCTTGCTGCGATGTCTTATATAATAGTTAGAGTTTAATATTTTGTGCAGATCGAGGTATTAAAAATAGCTTTTTGACTATTTTATACCTCGGCTCCTGAGTAAGGAGAACTGTCTCTATCAATTCTCAGTAAGCAAGACACAATGAAAGAAGATTTGTATGAATTGATGAGAATTTCAAGTGACAAAAGACTCAGTGCTACGTGAGACAAAGGGCTGGGATGGAAACCAGGAAACAGGTTTTTAAGATTAGTTCTTGTAAATGCAGCTTCTTGTGTGCAACCTGAAAAAAGGCTGTGCTTAAAAACATTTCATAAAAGATATAAATCAATAAATGGAGAAACAGTGTTTAAATGTTCATTTTATTTATTAAAAAACTTTTTATTTCTCTGTATCACTTTTGTTGATGGACTAATTTTATATAACACTTTCTACTCTCTGGTGTACTCAAACGCTGTATACAACATGCCACATTCACCCACTCACACAAGCACTTCTAAACTCAAGTGTAAACAAATAACATTCACACCATTTACACTCGATGAACGCATCGTAGGGCACTTGGGGTTAGTGTTTGGCCAACAATTTGCACTGCAGTTCATCCTTGGGAAACCAAGGATCGAACCACCAACCTTCCAATCAGTAGCTGATCTGCTCTACCACCTGAGCTACAGCCACCCTTGTAACCACAATTGATCCACTTAGAAGATTCTTTTCATGTGGAAACAGAGGTTTTTTTGAATTCCTGCTAGTGTCTGGGAAAGGAAAGAAGGAAAGGGACAAGTTACTGTACCTGCTAGTCTTACTGGTTCATCAACATGAACTTTCAGTTTGGGAAGTGTGATCTAAATAGGAGTGTTTACTGGAAGTTTTAGGGCACCATCGCAGTCATGCTGGCTTTGAGATAGGGACTTAAAGAACATATCAGATCTTTCAGCACAGTTTAACTTAGGAATGTGCCATAGCTGCATGTGTGCAGGTTTTATTCTATGGATGCCTGACCTGACACGTCAAGGGTTTGAAGTGCTGTGGGGCCACAGTGCTACCCATATCAACACTGTCCCTCTTTATACACCATAGTCTGGAGTATATTACCACATTATGCAATAATGGGAAACACAAAACAAAACCTAAGAACTGGAACTCAGAAAATACTAAAGAACTAAGGAGCTAGGAATACTTCACACGGAAACTGTCATGTTCAAATATTCAGAAGGACTTCAGGAGACACTAAGGTCAATTATGGAGTTCCACAGGGTTCAGTGCTAGGACCAATTCTGTTTACACTATACATGCTTCCCTTAGGCAGCGTCATTAGAAGACATAGCATGCATTTACACTGCTATGCAGATGACACCCAGCTCTATCTGTCCATGAAGCCAGATAACACACACCAATTAGTTAAACTGCAGGAATGTCTTAAAGACATAAAGACCTGGATGGCCGCTAACATTAACAGCTAATCCAAAATGCTGCAGCAAGAGTCCTGACAGGGACTAGAAAGAGAGAGCAGATTTCTCTTGTTTTGGCTTCCCTTCCTTGGCTTCCTGTTAAATCCAGAATTCAAAATCCTGCTGCTCACATACAAGGTCTTAAATAATCAGGCCCCATCTTATCTTAATGACCTTGTAGTACCATATCACCCTATTAGAGCACTTCGCTCTCGCTCTGCAGAGTTATGCTGCAATAGACATAGGCTGCCGGGGGATTCCCATGATGCACTGACTTTTTCCTTTCCAGTCACCTTTCTCACTCACTATGTATTAACAGCCCTCTCTGCATTGAATCATATCTGTTATTAACCTCTGTCTCTCTTCCACAGCATGTCTTTATCCTGTCTTCCTTCTCTCACCCCAACCAATCACAGCAGATGGCCTGAGCCTGGTTCTGCTGGAGGCTTCTTCCTGTTAAAAGGGAGTTTTTCCTTCCCACCGTCACCAAAGTGCTTGCTCATAGGGGGTCATATGATTGCTGGGTTTTTCTCTGTATCTATTATTGTGCGATCTACTGTACAATATAAAGCGCCTTGAGGCGACTTTTGTTGTGATTTGGCGCTGTATAAAGAAAATTGAATTGAATTACAGCTGGGGTGGACGAGGCTAAGCATCAGGCTTTCAAATGAATTAAAAGTCTGTCTTGGTCTTTCATTAATTAATAGGCTGGTGTGAAAAATTGCTGCCACACCGCCCCTCGGCCTGTGCTTCGAGGTTTCTGGTAGTTAGAATGACTCGGGGGTGTTGATTCATTTAAACTAACATAATCATCCTGCTGCAACCAGGTTTCTGTAAGGCAGAGTAAATCGATTTGTTGATCAATTATTAAGTCATGTACTAACAGAGACTTGGAGGAGAGAGACCTAATATTTAATAATCCACATTTCACTGTTTTACTCTTTGGTTCAGATGTGGATACTGTATTGTTCTTTCTTTGTGATTGTTTATGTTCAAGTTGTTTGTTGCTGGATTTTAGTTTGTTTTTTGTCTTTTTGGGAGCTGACACAGTCTCTATGGAGATGGGGGTTTTTTTGGGGGGGGGGGTAGCAGGAGGAGAGAAGCTGCAGAGAGGCGTGTAAGACTGCAATTTATTTATTATTTAATTCTTTAGTTATTGTGAACTGTATGTATTTTGATAGGGGTTATTTTTTGGTTTGGCTTTTGTTATATAAATGGCAATAAAATTTCTAATAACTCCAAACTATGTCATAATCAAATGCAAAATAATACTATAGAACGGAAAGAAAAAAAAAAAACAAACATAAAAAAGAAAACAAACAAAAGAAATGTATAATTTTTTACAAGCAAAAAATAGTGTGACGTCTGCACAATGTTTGGACCCCTCTAGGGGTCTTCCTCAGGCGCTTGGCTCGCTCCTGAAAACAAAAAGGCTGGCTGGGTCAATCACAGAGTTTTGCTATTAACAATAGCTTTTTTGACCAAAGTCTATGTTTTTGGCTCCTGAGTAAGGAGAACTTTCTCGTTCAATTCTCAGTAAGCAAGACATGCATGAAAGAAGATTATGTATGAATAGATGAGAAATCTCAAATGACAAAAGACTCAGTGATACATCAGACAAACCAGGAAACAGGTTTTTAAAATGAGTTTTTGTAAATGCAGCTTCCTTGGGTACAACCTGATAAAACCACAAGCTGTGCTTAAAATGATTACATAAAAGATAAGATATAAATCAGTAAATGGAGAAACAGAGTTTAAATGTTCATTTTATTTCTTAAAAAACTATTTATTTAGTTATCTCTTCATTACAATTGATCCACTTTTTTCTTGGAATTCTTATTTTTATTTATACACAGAAAACAGTTGCAGGTGGATGATTCAAAAATGAGGAAGTAAAGCTGTCAACAACTAAAGTAGCTCATGTGTAACAAGAAAAAAAAACACCTCAAAGCTGGCTCACCAGACAATAAAAATAACAAAGGACCGCATATTTTAGTAAGGAGGTCTATTTTTGAATTCCTGCTAGTGTCTGGGAATAGAGGCAAAGGCACGTATTACCGTACCTGCTAGTCTTACTGGTTCATCAACATGAACTTTCAGTTTGGGAAGTGTGATCTAAATAGGAGTGTGTACTGGAAACTTTAGGGCACCATCGCAGTCACGCTGGCGTTGAGATAGGGACTGAAAGAACTCATCAGATCTTTCAGCACATTTTAACTTAGGAATGTGCCATAGCTGCATGTGTGCAGGTTTTATTCTATGGATGCCTGACCTGACACGTCAAGGGTTTGAAGTAGGGATGCACCGATACCACTTTTTTGAAAATGAGTACGAGTACTTGCATTTCAGTACTCGCCGATACCAATACCGAGTACTTAATATAAACGCGATTTAAATTTACAGGTAACAGCTTTAGTCCTATAATTTAACAAAAAACAAACAAACAAGGGACTAGTTTGGAATTAAGAACATTTATTTAAAATGAAAAGCATGTTGTATGCAACATATTACAGAATAAATAATTATAAAAAAACAAAATTTAATTTTAAATTTGTTCGTCTGTTTCTCTGTTTAGAAGTCACGCTAGCACAGTCACAGCTGGGATGACATCAGAGGCTAGTGCGTCGTAGCTGCTCACTTTT